CTTTCTATACTAATGCATTTTTCATCTCTTTTGGTGCCCTTGGGCCTTCAGCACACAATTCATTTGCGGACAAAGCACTTGTATGGCCCTATATTGTAAACCATTCAGAGCAGTGGCAGTGAAAAATGCAACACGAGAGAGCCCTACAGGGCCTGTCCTGCACAGCACAGAAACTTTGAAATCACCCATGTATAAAATACATACTCTGTCTCCTGGGCTTCAGATATTGCTTATATAAAATGGCAATAGTCAGGGCATAGGGGCCAGAGAGGCATAAAATGGCCTGCAGAAGCAATTAAGTGCCACAGAGACATTCACATTTGGTAACTGCAGAAGGTTGTTTATAGCCCTGTTTACTCCTCCACCATGAATATCGTGCTCCCTGGTACAACAGCAAGAGGCCTGAGCAAACCCCAGCACTTGGACACATTTGTTCCTCTGCTGAGGGTCACACACACATTTCCCACTGGCATCACTATACCGGTGGCCTTTGCAAGGCTTTTTGTTCCAAACAATGATCTCTGGCTGTCCAGGGAATACATCCATCAAACATGGATGGATTTCAGAGCCACTCTCCTGTCCACACTCGCTTGCTTTGTGCTCCCATTCCCCCACATCCTCCCACGCCATGTTTTATTCTCTCTGGCAAGTGAGCAGCTGGGCTTTACTGATAGAAAATCCTTTACAAAGCACGAGGGATTGCATTTACCACCACCTTGGGACCGCTCACGCCAGGTAGGCCAGCACAAGAAGTCTATAGGACAGACAGAGGTCACCAGGAGGAGAACTGACTCCCCCATGTATCTGCCCCAGCCCGGTCTGAGAGCTGAACCATATTTTTCTGACATGGGAAAAAAATTCCTTTCACCTTTAAAAGTAGGCCACATTGTGTTGGACACTCAGCAGAGAACACTCCTGCAGCAAGAGAGACCCAGGCCAAGGGGCTGTGGCAGCCATGGAAGACCCCCGCTTCCCCACTGCCCTTGAAGCAAGGCGAGAGGGGGTTTCCCTCCACAACCTCCCCTCAGGGCGGCAAGGGCCCTGGGCCCACCTCTGAGGTGACGCTGCCAGGCATCCCCCACCAAGTTTGGAGGGACTGAGGTGCAGGGAAGCCCAGCTTCTGTTGCTGCTCCTTGTCCTGCTCCAGTTAGTGCCCCGTCCCCCTGAGGTAGAACTGCCATGTTTAACAGGGAGACCACTTAATGGCGCCTTGGAAGCAGCCCCCAGCAAAGCCATGGCCTAGCTCCCCCCAGCAGATGCAGACAGGCCCCAGGGCCCCCCTCACCCACTGGCATAAGGTCCCACCACCTTATGGCCTTGGTGCCATATTTATATTCCCTCAGCACTGCAACATTAAGATAAATTTTTCTCTGATGACGCACAAGTGGCGTCTGGTACCCCAGCAACCAGAAAGGTGGGTGTCCAGAAGCTTAAATGTTGCAAGTGAGGACAGAGTGCCTTGCCAGGGAAGAAAAAGAAAAAAAAAAAAAGAAACAGTGTTCTAAATAAGTGCCTGTCAGGAAAGCAAAGACTCCATGCCATCAGGAAAAAATAGGGTGTGTTGTGCTGGGAGACCTGAAAAAAAGAAGAGAACTGTAGTTGGCATAAATACTCGACCAAAGAATGAAAGAGACCAGCCTGGTCATCTGCAGAAGTTAGTCTGATCATCCTCTGTGCCTGCCAAAAAGAAATTAAAAAGAGGGGAAAATATAAGTGCTCCATTTTTGGTGGCTTGTTGGTTGGGTTTTTTTAACATTTTTGGGGACATGTGGCTAATGTCTAAAATTATATTGCATTTCATTTTTTTCCTCTGAATAAAAATACATTGCCTATGGATATATCAGAAATACACAATAAAAAAAACTGTGACTTATTTACCTGCTGGGGGAATGCTAATAAGTGTTGTAGTAATGAAAACAGCTTCACTGGCTTGTAAAATGCAAAACAGCAGGGAACTCGCTGGAGACCCAACAAGCATATGTCAATAAGTTTATATTATTCATGAATACACAAGCCTCCCAAGAGACCAGTTTCCCAGCCTCCTTTCATTTCCTGACTGCACCTGACTGCCTCACGTTTTGAGCAAAGTCAAAGACTAATTTTCTATCTTCCTCGAGCCTTGAAAGTCTTTGCCAAATGATCATACAAAAACCTTTCCATTCAGATGCAAACTGAATATTTTATCGGCTAATACTTCATGTTATCCAATCTACAAGTATTACAAAGTGTGATAGCAGTACAGGACAATTGTATCCATGACCATAAACATCTGAACGTAAATAACATTTTACCAGAGTGCTCTAGCAATGCACTCAGACACAGCACTAATACAGCATGCTCTCGTTCAGAGTGTTGTTCTCTATTTCTCTCCTTTGCTTCAATCCTGAGAATATTAACAACGGTAACAATCACTGACCAGTCTCACTTCAACACTTCCAGTGTACATTGCCGAGCTCTGCTGTGTATTTAGAGTAAAACAGAAGGCACTAATTCCCACCAAAGGTGATCATTCAGCCAAAATTCAGATCAAAGTGTTAGGACTTTAACTAAAAAACCCCATTAAAATACAAGTCCAGGCATTTGCTGTCATAAGAAGACTGCAGTAACTGTATTTCATGTCCCCCTTCATTATAAATCCATTTGGCATCCTTTCTAATAGCCAGCCTACCCTCAGAAAAAAAAAAAAAAAAAATCATTTGACGTTCCTGTGGATGTCGTATGTGCCCTCTACTTTTACAGCACTTCTATTGTAATTCAACGTTAATTATCTTTCCAATTAATGTACTGCATAATGCTGCACTATGAAATGCTCACATTTTATAAATGAGAAAATTGAGCCCAGTTCTGTCTGCTTTGATCCCATTTCACTTCTATTATAATTCAGTACCAGAACCTTTTTGGTTGGGTTATTGACACCCAGAACACATACAAGGAAGCCATCTATTGCATACAAAAGATACATTTATGCTTCTCTTTTTTTTGAGAAGACTTCCAATTTCTCTTTTTCAATATCATTTTAATATACTTTCCTGCCTTATGATTGTTACTGAAGAGCTCACGAGGGAAACAGAGGTGGCAAAAGTACTAAAGAGCAGCATTTAGCAGTTACCATAAATGTAGGTATCATAAATACCTACAACTGCTGGAAAGTTGAAAGTGTGAAGTAGGTCACAAATACAGAAAAAAATGAAATCAAAACTGTGGCCAGGGAGTAAAAAGACCTCTTCTTTAGAAGCTGAATGATCCATCACATTCTTTAAATGTTGTGTGTCAAAAATACCAGTTAAAGTTTTACTGCTGAGTACCATAATAAAAAGTATAAAAAGGAAAACAGATATAAAGTATAAAATACAGAAATGGAAAATAGATATCCAAAATTGTTTCCTATATGTATGGCTGAAAGAATATAAAACTGGTGATTTTCCACAATGAGGAGTTTAATTTTTTTGTTGACTTAGAATCTTTTGTTTACTGTAGCTGCTGTCAATAGCTGCAGACATGGGCTACTGGATTTGACCTTCAGTGCAACCATCTCAAAGCACTTCACAGGGCTTTCTCATCCTGAAAGTGCTTAAGTGCTTGAGGAAGGTACAAATTCTCCCTTTCTCCAGTGACATTACATCTAGCTTTCTTCCCTGTCACCCCACCACATCATTTTTAGCAGAACCAAACCTACAACACATGGAAAGCCGCAGAAAAATCAGTCAGCCCTCACACTCACTAGTGTTAATATTCGATGTTCTTCAGTGCTCATCATTAGGTGGCATTACTCAGTATGTGCTGAGAAGAATCCGCAGATCAGACTGAAGGAATTTAAGAGTGTCGCCTATAAAATATTCCTTCAGATAGCTAAGCAACCTCATCTTAAATAACCTTGCTAGTCAAAAGGGGTAAAAAATTAGGAGTAGCCAATTTAGCATCTTGAGATGGGATTTCTTCTTGAACTGCTCTGGAATACTTCATTGTCATTTTAAACTGAGAAATGTGGCAGTTTAAGTGGACAGGCTGGCTATTAATGATCTATCAGTAATCCAGGCAACTTACTTTAATAGGAAGTAGTGCTCCTGTTTCAACATTATCCTTAACCAAAGCCTTTTGAATTTCCTTTTATTTATTGCTTAGCAATGAACTTGACCTACTGCTGCTGCAGGTACAGCTGCTATGAGGAGGAAGGCTTTAACCTCCCATACTGGCTGAATTAGTAACTGTGTGCCCATTACCCGCATATTCCTTCTCAGAGTACTTCTTCCTTTCTATTTTTCCCCTTGGAGACAAGGAAATGCCTCCGCTGGGGAAAACAACCAGCTGTCAAAGAGTGGTGGTTAAGCAGCCTCCCAAGGGAAAACCACAGCCTAAAATATTAGCCCTTTATGAGACTGTTCAATGTTCAACTGTCTTGTGCACAACTGTCTTCTGGCACCACCCAAAGACAGGCATTCTATTCTGGACAGTGGTACTTCAAAGCTCCCAGAAGACAGACATCCAGAAAAAAAATCCACATCCTGGCTCTGAGATCATATTTACTGCTGTTAGGCATAAAGTAACCCCAGCAAACCCAGACAACGGCTCAATTTCCAGAGTTCTGCAAGTAGCACATTTCCTTCTCTCATGTCTAAAGTCTCTTCTTCTAAACAAGTCAACCAGATGGTTACCAACACCCCTGCCTTGACACCATAAAGAAGTGACTTCCCCCCAGTCCTGCCCAGCCAGGAGCTTCTTCATGTGCCTCTTCAACATCCAAAACAGGGTGGGTGTCCCAACAATCACCCGGACAAAACCTGCTGTTCTCAACATCTATTTCCAGTTTCCCCCATGGGTAACCCTCTGTTGAGGTTAAGCAATGAAGCAAGCTACCACCAGGAGGGGGACTCCAACCTCCATGAGCAAGTTCTGTCCAAGGCAATCCCTTGAATTGCTCAGGATAAGACATCACACTCCCAAAAGGAAGAAAAATATTATTGCTGAAAGGAGAAGAAAACTTCCACCACTGAGTTCCTTTACTTTTTTCACACATTTATCAGCACACCAAAAGTGACAAAAGGCAACTACAACAAAACCTTCTGAAATTTAATTTTACAGTATGAACTTAGAAATTAAAATGATATATGGATACTATGAACTTAGAAATTAAGAATCAAAATGACACTTCATGATTGTTTTTTAAAATCTCTTGGAAAATCCCTTCCAACATACTGAATACATTTCCAGTCATGTTGGCAGGTTTAACTACTGCATATATATTCCACACAGGATTCTGTCAGGTAACATGACATCAAAGCTAAAAATCACTGTTGGAAAGCAAGTGAGGCCAAAGAACTACCCGGTCATTTAAGAGAATCCAATGAAGTCAATGACACTAACTGTACTGTATCTACTAAGTGTACAAGGAAGGATTTCTTGTGTAAGTTAAGACAGCAGAAACAGATTTGCAAATTGCATGGATTTTCAAAATTTTTAAATCACATACTGTCCTACTTTCTATTTAATTTCACAAAAGTGAATGAAAAACAGCCTGGACATGAGTTTTTTCTCTAAAGAACGTTCAGGCCTTGCAGTACACATCATATTTTAACTTTGTTCCCAGCTTAGTTCCTTCTAAGCATGCTTTGAATTTGGCATCCATTTCCTGGTTCTGGGCTTCAGTGAAAAGATTTTTCCAGTCTCCAACAACACCTGGAACATAAAGAAAAATAAAATAAAATATTACTCTTGACTGTAAGAATCAAGGAGTATGATTAGAAAAAAAAGCCACCTTGTCTCTCTTATTGCCACATTTCAGGATAATCCTTTTTTTCTTTTTTTCCCTGCAAGAAAAGAATCTCTGGCCCAAGAATACACTCTTATGTTTGGTGTTCTCAATAGAACGTGAACATAAAATAAACATAGGAAGCTACTGGTCTGCCTTCATAGCTTTGGCATGTGTCTTGAACAGTTGCAACAGACTACAAAAGATGTCCAGCAGTTGTGAAATCAACTGCAGGAGTTTTGTGCACTGCAACCAGGCACTGTCCTAAGCTGCAGGCTACCTTTAATCTAGGTCTTGGAGAACCCACAGTCTGAGGCTGTCTGAGTCTACAGCTGTAGCTTGATCCATGGCTAAAAGACAAAGCTCAGTCTGTGGAGTGTCTCAATTCCATGTGTTGAGTGAGGTTCACAGGCAATTACAAGGGTTATTTAGAAAACCCAAGAAGAAAAATCTGTGGAGGCACTCAGTAGAGTGCAATCTGGAGGCTATCATATAGTACACAGAAGCCAAAATAAAACTCTTCTTTGCTTTAATTAGTGCTTACTGCATATCACAACTAAAGGGTGTGCTACTTGTAGGGCACTTCTGCTAATCACATTATACAGGGCTTTACTGAACGGTAATGGCCCTTGTGATGAAATCAAGTGACAGTGTTTTGAATCACAATCAGTGTTTCTTAAACAACTCCCACCTTGAATTTTATACATAAAGATTTTATACAAAAACCATCTACTGATCCAAACTCCTGTCTGCCGAAGATGCAGTGCTACCATTCACCACCCTGGCAAAATACAAACAAATTTACCTTTACGGAAAAGAATTGAGCCAACGGCACCATGAGTCTCCTGAGCCTTATCCTTCACTGCCTGGAAAGTGGCCCTGTCTGCAATGGACTGGATCTGCTTTGCCGTTGCAGAAAATCCAAAGAATTCAGCTATCTGCTTTACACTGGCAGTCAAGTTCTGAAAGCAATACAGTGAAAGAGAGTCATGCAACATGTTCCTCTAAGAAAGGATTTAATCCACTTGGGATGTGCATTGCCATCATCTATTAGTAATATTTGCCTTCACAGTATGTTTTCTGCATTGAATTGGAGCTCTGCTCTTGTATAGTCAGACTCAGTTTAACATCAAAATCAACTTGATTTTGCTCTTTCAGAAACCTATGCCTTTTGCTGTTAATTTCAGCAGATTTCAGGGAATGGGCCCAGATGTGTTTAGCCTGTCAAGTACACAGCATCTACTTTACCTCTTTAAGGTCTTCATAAATTATGAACATAGTATTCTCATCCTCAATGTGTTTGTTCCAGTTGACTGCATGATCAAAATAGGATCCCCAGCCGACTGTAAAGAAGGGAAAAAAGCCATCAGTGTGACCTTCTTTTCTTACTGGGTACTTATTTCTCTCCAACTGAAGAACTGCCTTCTGTTGCCTGTCGGTTACATCAATGTAAACAAACAGAACAGCCTGCCCTTTCTGTGGACAACACAATGACAGAGGCTTCCTCTGTATTTTTGCAGGTAAATGGTTTCCACACAGAAATACTAATTTCACTATGTGCTTTCCCTCTGTTACTATATTGTCATTTAAACATCTCTTGAAAGCCAAAGCCTAAACCACTCTAAATCTAAAATTTGGGTTGCTAATGAGGTGTTTGGCCTCATGTTCAGAAACAGTAAAGACAACAAACTGTTATTTCATTACCACTTCAGAGATGTAGCATTTCTTCCACCACTAAGTGGCAGAATGTTGACCAAATGCCACTATCAAGCTGCCATGCAACTCCCTCACCCTTGCCTGGAAGAACAAAATACCCAGAAGCAAAGCATCTTTTGGATATGCTCCCCGTTCTGGCATTCAGCTGCCTCTTTTATTGTGATGTATGGCCATCAGTAAACTAATTATGACACAGCTGTTTTCCCACTGGCCTCATTTAGTTGTTTTAAATATTTTTTCTGTTGCTTTTTCAGCTACATTCATTAACTATAACAATACCTTTCCCATTCATGAACTCTGAGAAGAACTCATCCCAGGAGCTGTAACTGGGGACGCTTGGCACATTGTTGTGGAAATGGAAAAATGAAACAGCTGTATCTTTAGGGTTTCGAAACAGCACTAGTATCTGGAGTGGGAGAAAGAGGTCAACAATTCTAGATCACTTATTTCCCCTGGCAACGAAAATAAGAGTATAACCAAACATTCTGCAATCAATAACATTCAGGGGGCTATAAACTTTTTTATCAGTTAAGGCATGGAGAGCAAATTTATAACGTGATTATAATAAAGACCTTGTTACCACTTCTAAGATTTCCTTATGTCATAAAGCAATTGTAAAGAAGCAACTGGAAAAACTGTAGTATTGTCATTGAATACTATCTCATAACTACCTAAGACCTGGGAAATTGTAAGGAGCCATTTGCCAACCCCCTGCTAGGAAAAGCTCTGTATGATTCTCCTTCAGGAAAACAGCTGCTGTTACAATCATCTCCCATTTTTCAAAGCATGGCAATAATGTTCTTGAAATCCTAAGAGACTGCAATCCTCAGAGAAGCACAAACACTTCTGAAGACACGTTATACACATTATTTTTTTTTTTTGTTAGACACATTCTATATTTTCCTGTCTCATACAGGAAAAAATATCAATGGAACATGGGAAAAATCCCCATTCCTTAACCAATTATTTCCTTCATTTGAGGTACATCTCCTAAGTGCTATGTATCTACCATTGTCCACTGACGCAGTACCAGAAATGCTAAAGTTTTAACAGTTTGACTACGCAGAGACAGCCAATATGTCCCAGAGACACTGCTGCCACATTCATTCCCATCATGGCTGCACACAGAAAAGTTGTAGCATAAAAAAAGGAAAATGTGATACTCCAGCCACTTCTGAGCACTGCAACAGCCTCTAAATCTGTTCTTGTTCATGTCAACTACAGCATCAGTAAGGCTAGTCTAATCATAAGGGGTGTTAAGCCAGCCCAGGCATCATGAGACTCCCACTGTCTCCAAGTTGCTTTCTCCCAGTGCCTTCTGCTTGGACGCAAGAAAAAGGTTGTGGCCCCAAAATTCCTCTCGCATGCTGCTACTGTCAGAGAGATGAGGCTTGTTCTTGGAAAAAGAAAAAAAGCCCACCTTGGCTTTGTTCTTGAAAATAGACTTGGGGAGACAATCGTAATTCAGATGTGTTGCCAAAATCCTTGGAGATGGAATCTGCTTCATCCTCTTTAGAAATAAACAGAACCATAAGTGAGAACAGGTTTATTACATGGGTGCAGCAATGATCTGTGAGAGTCGCCTGTGTAAACCAGCCCCTCATCAAAAGGCATTAGTCATCCAAGATTATCTTTTTTCCCCTCTCAGGAGAAATATCTTTACTTGCTGCATGACTTCATTTTAATAACTTGTGTGCGGGGGTGCAGGAGAGAGAAAACAACAGACTTTAAGTGGTTCAATAGTTTCTTTTCACTAACCTCATATTTATCTGGATCTCCACATTCAATAAATGGTAGTTCTGTGCTTACAGGTTTACTCTGGATAGTTGTAAATATCAAATCATTTAAAATCTGGATAAGCCAGTTCACACCTGCACAAGGAAACGCAGAGAACAAAATAAAACATATCAGAGATTTATATAAGTTCTCAGAGCCTTCTCATTACATGGCTTAATTCAGCATAATAGAGAGTCATCAAATGACAAATAACACTAAAGCTCTGTAATAACAAAATAATGTTTTCCATTAATGAGATCCTCAACAACTTTTTAATTGTGACCTTCTTGGCTCACTTATAACTGGCATGTAGAAAGCACTGGGGGCAGAACCGACTCAACGATGCACTTAACATTTTTTTAATATATTCATAAAGCAGTCAGTGACAGACAATAAAGGGAAGTTTCCTGTCTTTTACAGAGACACCTGGGAAGGGTCTGGAGAGGAGAAGTAAGAAATGAGCAAGGAGCTTCCCTCATTCTGCCGAGGAAAGAGTCTGCCTCTCTCTACTGCCCTGGGTCAAGGACGAAATGGAGTCATCCATTCAATGTCAGTGCCAGTGCTTATCCTCAGTTGTGCCTGTTGCCGTCTCCATAAAGTGCACGCCAGAACACGTACTAGAAGAGTTGCTACCCACTGGACACCTGCATCCTTCCTCACCCTTCAGAAGGGATCTTGCAGCAAAACCTCCCCCATATCGCATCCTGTTCCAGCATGAGCCTGTGGCCAGCTCCTGGATCCGTGCAGTGATGCCTGCTTCCCCAGGGTTTCCACGAATCGCATTTGCTCCACTGATGCTCTGCCGATTGCTGGCAGGACAGAGCGAGGAAACGGCATGTTCACCTTGGCCCACAGCACCCTCCCCACATCCTTGTGGGGAGGTGCTTGGAAGGCTTCCTGCTGGGCCCACGGAGATGGAGCTGCGGAGCTGCTGCCGCCTCCTGCAAGCTGCGAGTCCCCTGTGAACACAGCTGCTAGAGGCACTAACAGGGAACACACAGTGCAAACAGCTTTAACCTCTCGTGCTTTCAGTGGGAAGTTATTCCCAGAAAGGGCCAACTTCCACCCTATGTTACATAAAGTGCCTCAGGATGCTTGGACAGAAGCAGCTGATACATGTCATTTGTATACATCACACAATGTCTTATAATACATATATTACATTTATATGCCACCCAATATCATATTTATATAAAAGACATTGTATAATGATATAATTTTTATAACTCTCCCATTTAAGGATAGACCAGAGCCAAAAGCATTAGAGTCTCCAAATCCATGTCCTCGTCTGCCCAGTGCATGTGCACAAATAAAAATTTTATTTTAACAAAAAGCTACAATTGATAAATGTAAAATTCCTAGTCTCTAAATCCCCTAATGGCCTCTCAGCTGTGAGACCCTTCCCTGGGAAGTGCTGCATCCTGGAGTTCCATTGTTCTTTACCCCTACCTCATCAGTAGATCTCTGCATCAGAGTTTTCCTCTCCACTTCCTTTCCCCCACAGCTGAATTGGGGGAAACCTTTCATATAATGAGACTTTACTGTAACTTAACCTTCATAATGTTTATTAAGTAAAAGAAATGAGGACAATAGTAAAGCTTTGAGAGACAAAGCTTTCAAAGGGCCTCAGTGCAAGTCCTTCATCAAGAATGTTCATGACCATCTACACCTGGCAAATGCCAACGAGTTTGAGCCCTGCATGGAAAACACCTGAGAAGCTGGCAGAGAAAGCCAGACACCAGGCTCCCTTGGTTCAAGAAGCAAAGGGGGCTGCAGAGAGATTTTTATTACTGCCTGGTGACATTATAGCTTGTTGGGTCCAAGTGTTGTATCAAGGGGCAAGAGGGAGCACAGCAATTTCTGGTTTCAAAGTGAGGCAGATAATCTTTCCTTTTCATTCTTTATCCTCTTTTCTTGCCTTTTTACCTCCACTTTGCAAGCTACAGGCAATTAGGACAAATCTATTTAGCACTGTTTAAGAGTTTAAGAGCAAACATCCAAATGGGAAAAAATTCCAGAAGATTTACCTGCAGATTGTAACTACACCGCACTGCACTAACACAGCATTTTCTCTCCCTCCTGCTTTCCCATTTCTTCCATGAAACGTCCTGTAGGTGCCCTCCCAGCACTGCCTGCCAGAAGCAGGGTCCTGCATTCCCCGCCAAACCACAGGCACCTGTGCTCTCCCTCTCCTACTGAACAGCTGGTGGTCTGTCTTTAGTAAAATTTCCCCCTGCTGACCTACCATGAACTGCCAGATAGTTATAGTGTGAGATTTCTTTATCTATTGGTCCCTCTCCCTGAATAGGAATTTGCTGTGTTACTAAACCTCAGATGCAATCAGAATCATGACTCCATGACTTGAGCTCTTCCAAACTGTGAGAAATCAAAGCTAGTGCCAAGTTATGACAATGACCTTTTAGGTCTTTGTAGGGTCCAGCAGAACTCTGGACTCAAACCCAATGGAATTTTACAGGCTCCTTAAAATAAACATGCACATTTCACATTTTGTGCCGCGTCCCTCCTTTGTATTTGCCCTCTCTTTCTCTTGGCTCAATGTTCTATCATCTCACAGCTGCTATAAATTCACCCTAAACACTACAGGCATACTTCTTAAGCCCCTAAATACACTACAGCTTCTTTCCAGATCAGAACTTGCCAGCCAATGGGAATTCTGCGTGCTGAATGAGACCTTGACCTAGGACTCTCTGCTTAGAGTCCAACTTGAACCCATCCGATACCATGCTAATGCAATGAAATCCTTCCCTGGACCCACATTTTCTCTGACAACCCTAAGCTTCCACTGCTTGGGTCTCAAAGAAGAAATACATGCTTGGATTAGCAGAACCCATGCCTGCCTTGTAAGCAACCACCACAACTGACATTTAATAAAACTGATGAAAATCAACTAGTTGGTTGTTTGGGGTTTTTTCCACTGTTCCTCTTGCACCTTTCCTCCTTTCTGCAAACCCCTGACTAAAAGATTGAAACTTCCAGTATGTCTTAATCAATACCATTTTGCAGTAACAAAACAAAAAACAACACTGATACTGAATAATGCCAAGAAACAGCTTATTAATTTTACAAGAAAAGATGCTGTGCCATGTCACTTTGTACACCTGAAAGAGTCTAATGCATAACTTCATTGCTGTTGTACACTACACTACATTACTAACACGATTTTCAGAATAGTTTATTCATACTGGCAAAGTTGTCTTGTTCCACTGATATGTAAAAAACTATGTACTTTATCCTCACTTCTTCAGCCCAAAATACCTTTGAACACTAAAAGTTTTTTTTCCTTTCAGAAACATAAACCATATTAAAAAGCAGTGCAATAGCCTGCTTAATTAAGATAAAGAAGAAAAAACCTGCTGCCTCTGATTGTAGTAGAAATGCCTAATATCCTCACACAATGTACACCCACAATCAGCTGCTTTTCCTTCTTCTTGTGTCAGCTAATTAGTTACACTGTTGTAGACTACAGCAAGAAATTTATAATGTATTCACCGCATTTAGGGTAGGATACCAGCACCATATCATCTCTTCTGGCTTCCAGCTTCTCCAGGGCTTGGAACGTTTCCACACTGCACACTGTGACAGGATACGGGGTCCCCCGGTAGGAGAAGAGCAGATCCCTCAAGGTAAGCCCTTCAGACTTTGCCAATGCTTTATTTATCTCATCAACAAAGGCTTTTTTATCCTCAGCCATGTTTACCACCTTCAGGGTGTGAAACTGTTAAGTCTAAGGCAGTAAGTGCCTTTAAATGGATGTTTTTAAGTGGTGATATAGAAACCCTTAGCACTACTGCCCTCCCCTGAATTTGATATGTTTCTTTCTCTCCTCTCTTCCCACCCTTCTGGAAATGGAAGCTGGGTTGATCCTTCCACTTAAAATCCACAGAGGAGGAACTACTATAATAAGAAGTCCCACTGAGAGCAAGTAATACTTGCAAGCTCAGCCACCAGGGAAAACTGAATTGGAAAATGAATCACCCTGTAAGAAAGAGCAGTAAAATATTACATCTAATATTACATAACATCACTAGGGAAGAAAAGCATTTCGCATAGAAAAGAAAGTCCCCAGTAAGAAAAATCCCAAGAGGGTTTATTTTGGCAATAAATAAGAGGTAGTGAGTAATAAAAAACAATGAAATCAAAACCATAGAGCAGAAGCAATACCAAAACAGAAAGGATGCTGCCACTCTAGGTTCTAAATACTCCCCGGGGGAGCTAATCAGTACTAATGTCCTTTTTCGATGTTAAAAAGACTATTAAGTACTGTGATCTTGCATGGTGCTTTTTTTTCCCCCAACAGCCCCATGACAGAACTAGGATCCCATGTTAACAGCCGTGAGCCTTAACAGACCTAGCACTTTTCCCCTCGCAGGAAACACAGCCGGACCGGGGCTGGCTCCCTGGAGGCACAGCCCGGCTCTCCCAGCAGAGAGAGAGCAGAGCAGCACCGACGGCTGGCCTGTTCCTTTGCCTCACAGGGAGCACCTGATCAAGAGCCTCAACGCGGGGCAGCAAGGCCTGGCCTGGCCGGGCCGGGCCTCTTCGCTGCGGTAGGCCCTTACAGCTCACAGCTAAAGCGGCCAGGCGAGGGCTGCGGGTCCCTCCAGGCAGCAGGGAAAGGCGGTGGCGAGTCGAGCCCGCTGCCGGCAGCCAGAGCGGGCTGCTGAGGGCGAGCGGCAGCGGCCAAGGCCAGCCACCGCACCCAGCGCCATCACCGCACTGAGCGACGGCCCCGCCTGGGGAGACGGGCCTCCTCTCTGCCACGTTCCCCAGCCGCGGGCAGCCGGCCTGCCACCGGGCCGCAGCTCAGCGCCTCGGCGAGTCCCCCAGCTGCCCGTCTGGGCGCTGTATCGGCCGTTACGGTACCAGGCAGGCGCGAGCGGAAGGAACGCGGGTGCGCAGCCCGCCTGTGCGCAGAAGGTGCGCCAACGGCCGGCAGCGCGCGCGCATGCGTGGCCGTTACCGGCGGTAACGGAAGGGCGCCGTGCCCCGGCGGCGGCGATGGCGCGGCGCGTCGTGAAGGGGTTGCTGCTGCTGGAGGCGGCGGGGCTGCTCGGCGCCCTCCTGCTCTACCGCGCCATGGACAGCAGCCAAGGTGCGGCGGGGCTGGGGCGGGCGGGAGCCGGGGGGAAGCTCCTCCGCGCCGGGGCCGGCTGGGGTTCCCGCAGCGCCGCGGGCGTGTTAAGAGGAGCTGCCGCGTTGGGGTCAGTTTCGCCTGTATTAGTGTAGGTGCACAGCAGCGGCTCGTTAGGCGGAACCTGGGGGACAGGTGTTAAAAGAACGAGCTGCTGTTTCGGTTCTACAAAGCCAAAGCGTGAGGGAGCCTGTTGAAAGGCAGCACGTGACAAAGGGACAAAGCTGTGCCGCGCGTTTCCGTAGTTACAGCATCGGCTCAAACAGGCACTTAAAAAGGAGAGGCTGGTTGCAAAGGAGGCAGGAATTGATCAATACTGCTTCAGGAGTCTGTTTTCAGCCTTTGAAGGAATGCCCTGGCTTTTGCCACGGTCTCCCAGGCTCTGTGGTGTGATGCTTCCCAGGTAGATGATAGACCCGTCTGGCAAGTGGAGGAGGCAGCCAGCATCATCTTCCAGATGATTGATTGGGCTTCTGTCCCTCAAGTCTCTTAAACTTAGGTGCCTAGGTAACACAAAAACGTGCCAAGCACCAACTCGGTGACTCCAAGATTTGCTGTGCACAGCAGCAGCCTTATTTTGCATTCAGGGTGCAGCACTAGTTGGACAGACCTGTCCCCCTGCAGGACAAGGCACTGGGTCCTGCTACCTACAGGATCAGAGCTCAGACAAACTTAGGTAAAACTAACCTTGTTAGAAAAACAGTGCATTTAATTATTTGTCTTAAAACGCGTTGGATAAAGTAACCATGATTTATCTTTCTTCTCAGACTTCAGACATACAATGCAGAAGAGATTTCCATCAATTCTGGAAGGTAGGTTTGTCATTGTTCACTTCAGAAGGATAGCTGAAGCTGTGGTTGCATCTTACATATAAAACCAATTTTATTATTGCTTAAAACTTACCCCAGGAGACATTGCAGAAATTATTACTGTTAGGTATAGCTGCAGCTGGAGTGTCAGACTGTTGGATACGAGTCCTCAGAACTGGAGGACTTTACATCCAGCAAAATGAGCCACAAAGTGTCTCACCTTCAGACATGTCTAACTTAACAGCTGACATGGATTTTCCTATTTTTCAGTGTATTACAAATCCAATGAGTGGTCTGGAATTCACGGCATAAGGGAGAATGACCAAATGACATGGTTAAGCAGCAAGAACTGAAGTAAGAAACATGTATGATTAATTTAAAAATTATTTTAAAATAATTATTGTAAAAATGTCCACATTAAAACGTCCAGCTCATCTTTTTGATTTCTTGCCTTTGTACTTGTTTTTCAGCCCTTTGTGCCTGAACTGTTTCTTCCTTTTGATGATACTTTTCACATCCCTATTGTGAAGCCACTTGTCACGCTCAATTTCCCACTGGATCTGTTTGGCATCTGTAAGAGGAAAGGTGAGAAATAAGGAGCTGATGGATACCTCTGACCACGATGTGGAACACAGATGAATCATGTAAAAGTATTTATAAGTGTTAATAAAGTGCAAGGTGCCAATTTTTTTTGACACCAGAAAAAGTTTTGGCTTTTTCATTTCACAAAACATGCCCTACCATTTCAGAATGTCAGGGTTTAAGACTGCTCTTGCCATTGCTTTGTATTTTACTAATGCTAGACACCCTTGTGTTAGGTGTACACAGCGTTTGACCGCCGTTGTTAACATTTTTCAGGTGACACTAGCAAGACTTGTAAAAACTCTACAAAGGACCAATTATTCAATGAGTATATACACATTTAATTCATTAGAATTATTTTTGGGAAACTATTTCTGCTTCACTGATACTGCAAGGAAACACTACATAAAGACAGCCATGCCTAGTGTTTTCCCTTCACATGAATCCAGGTCACTCTTAGAGCAAAATTCACCTGAATGTTTGACAGCCTGCTGCCCATCCTTATTTACAGTGTGTAAGGGTGACACGATAGCCTCTGCCACTTCTCTGAAGCCTTACTCGCTCCAGTAGTCACAGTATTAGCACTGGGAATCTCATAACTGAGGAAAACTAAGCCATGTCTTACTGACATTGCACTGCTGTCCCTACTGTGTCATTTCTGACCTGTGTGTATTTCAGTTAAAGCAGGTACATCTTTTTAAGTACAGAATCTGGGGAGAAAGAAGCAAAATGGCATTACAGCTATCTGCTGTTTGTAGCATATACTTACTTGCATTATCTCTGTTTGCCATGGCGTTCATTCCAATATTGTCAAACTTAGACCCAGCATTTTCATCCAGCAGATAACCAAACTTTAAAAAGAGAAATTTCAGTATTTTATTACAAAGAAACAAGTAAAATGCTTGATCACTTTTATGCTGAGCACTGATCAAACTTACCTCTTCTGCTGATGCCAGTATACTGGCATCTTTGAGTTTTCTCTTCTTTCCTTGGTTGGATCCTTCAAATAAAAAGTATTATTCTTACAAAGGCAGAATTTCAAGTTCATAAAGACATTAAACCAAAGTGTTATCATTTTTTAAATTTATTTAACGAGACCATCTAGAAGAGCTGTGTTAGAAACCTTTATTCTCCACCTCTCCCCTCCCTCTAAAAAAAGGAAAAAAGGTTTCCGACCAAGAACTAAATAGCACAAATCTGTGCATCATGTGTTAGTAACAGATGCACAAACCACCAGTGCAGTTCATTCCTTCCTTTAAAAGTTCCTCCTTCAATTCCCAGTCCTTCAGCAGCAGATTGTCACTCTGCATTTGGCCACGCTGGCTGGAGGACAAGGGTAAGACCAGCTCCTGTTCATTTATGGTTTATTCAAATCTGAACCCAGATCCAGAAGTGTAGATAATCTACTCTACTAAAACCCTCTGATTGCAAAGTTTTGCAGATGCTGTATTTGTATTAAGCCTTCTTAAATGGAAATTATGGCAACATTTCCTTACCTTCAAGTGATCCCACAAAATTCATATCTTTCTTTCTCTTCCCCTTTTTACTGACAGACTTCAATTGCTTGTCATTGTTTGGGTCTGACAGAGAAAAAAAAAAAGATATATTAATCCCTCATTCTCACACCATGTATATGTATTTAAAGCACAGCAGAGAACAAAATTTCTTTTTAGGCATATTTGTCATAATAGTCTGAGTCTTTGAAAACTTTAAAACACAGTGCACACATACAAATCTGGGATTCCTTCAACCCAGACAATTAAAAATTGATCAGTGGTGTGCCCTTTTTTATGCTTTTTTCCACAGCACCCAAAAAGGAATGAAATATGACACTAAGATACATAAAATATCAAGGCTAAAAAGGGGTGTTATGTAAACCTTGAATGTCTACTTGTTAAATTTGGTGAAATAATAATCTCATTAAAGATTAATGTGTTGACAGCTGTATGAATAGTTTCCCTCCTCTACCCTCAGTCACCTTCCTGTGACCTTAAGTTATTAGTTATACTCCACTAATCTGTGCTTTTTCAGCCACATAAAGTATATACTATGCTTTTCAGTTGAAAAGATAATAAAACCATGCAGGTGCAACCATCAGTAATTATTACTACAGTGATAACAAAAATTCAGGTGCATAGCTGCATTAGAAGAGCAAGCTGTTACTTACGAGACAGCAACTTAAAAAAAAAAGTTCTCTCAGCTCAAAAAAATCACCATTAACTAGGACTAAAGAAATAAAAAAAATTACCAAGTACCAGATGTTTTTTCTTATTTTTCTCTTTGAGATCTTTTCATATTTCTGCCTACTGTAGCCAGTTATTTGTGTATAAAGCTACTTTTATTACCGCCAATGTTTTTGGAATGAAAGAAACACGTCTTGTTCACATGTTCTTACACCCAGATGCCTGATTGCCACTCGCATCTTGGAGACTGTGCCAGGAAATGTTTCTCTGAAGACTTCATTGTCCAGAGAAGGACTTGTCATTTCTTTACTTAAAAGCCAAACCGCCCACCTAGGTAACTAAATCTAAATTTATATATGTAATTACATATTAGATAACCTATTTTTAAAGCTTTTCATTTGCATTTTTTTATAATAAATGGTACTTTACCTAGGCCGTTATCATCATCAGACACATCCATAAATACACCTCCTTCTTCATCCATATCCTCTCCAAAGTCATCCTCCATACTTCCTAAGGAGACTTCCTCATCATCCAGATCACTGAATTCATCTTCATCATCAGAATCCTCCCAGTCAGCACCGGATTCCTCGCTTCTTTGGCCTTTCTTACCACCTTTGGTATTCTTTTTTATATTACTAAAAAATATGTAACAAGCTTAGTGCTTCATCTGGCAAAATACTGTTCTCATCCAGGTAACATCCATCTACCACAAACACTATGTTAGAAAAGTTCGGCATCACTACAAAATACTGTAAAAGGAGGCTGAGACCTAAGAAAGATGTATTACGCATTCAGGTATTTTTTCCAACATCAGCATATGGATCTGTATTATAAAAGCCAACCATTTTAAGAAGTTTTGGAGATAATCCTATTCTGAAATTGACAGACATGTCAGCTTCAGTATTTTATCTCCTACTTGCCTTTGTTCCTTTTCAGAAAGTCTTTTCTGTAAAGCACACAAACTGCTGATATCTCTGGCAAGTCTACTAAATGAAGAAATAAGATTTTTTTATTATTTTTTTTCCTTCGGAAAGGAAAAATAGTTCTTCACATACTAGATGGTTATTTGCTTTCTTGTCTCCTCTTTACTGTTTTTCACTCCACCAGTCTGGATCACAAAAATGTTCGGGTTTCACTAGAAGTTCAAGCTTTAATTCTCCATTAACCTCAAGAAAAAAGTTTCTGTGCTGTTCAAAAACCGTACTGCAGTTACTTTAAGTAAAAAAAAAGGCTACTTAATGAACCTGTTGACTTCCTGAGAATTGAGCTCTGTGATTCAGGATTCCACAAAGTTTATTTACTGTGTTAGGTCCAGTTACAACCAGTCCTTATATCAGCAGTACCATTATGCCTCATTCTGCTTACTTTTGTACTTGGTAATTCTCAAACAGAAACCCGAGACAATGAAAAACAAGATTTTACCTTGCTTACTTGGTCACTGCATTGTATAAATAAAACACTCTGGGTCTCACGTGTCAGGCCAGCAGACTGTAAGCACCACCATTATGGGACATGCAGAAAAGCAGCATTACCCAGCATTCAACTGCTATTGCCTTTTTTGCAAGGTGATATTCTGAGTCTTTTCAAAAAAGGTCTATCCAATTTTGCAGAGTAAAACTATATATAGGTATGAAAACAAGAGGTGAAAGAACCAATTTAAAGTCTTACCCAGCAAAATCAAGGTCATCCTGGCCAACATCAATGGCATTATCAGCAGCTTCAAATTTATCTAGGGGGGAAAAATTGTTTATTATTACAAAGTCAAATAAAGAAATATAAAGCCATTGCAAAATATATTACTTTCAGGTATCATTTTCCTGAACAGTTTATATGATCTGCATCAGTAACAAAGGGCCTTGATAACAAAGGTTCATACTCTTATAGATACATACTCCACAAAACAGTTACCTAAATCTAACTGGAATTTTCTGAAGAAATATTTTTGTTTGAAAAATAATAGAGTGTCTTTTTATCCAGGACGTAATTTCTGGCCAGAACCAGATGATGTGGGAAGCAGCCAAACACAAATGGACACCATTGCCCAGTAATTCAAACTTAGTGGGCAGGTGGGGTATCACGAGTCTCAAACACTTGCTGCAAGTCTGATAAAACAAAAACACAATTAAGATACCCCAAGCAAGTGTCCTGCCAGCTAATCTGTATGTTGATTTTTAGATTAGAAGTATTCACTGTATTTTTTGACACAAAAGCAAGCATACTAGAGGGTGAAAGGTCCTATCATTGAACTCAGGAACAAATTGCTATATAAAATAGCGCGTAAAAACAAAATCTGAAAAATTACAGCTGCTCTGTTTCAAAGAGTAAAAGCTAACATTAGAAGGTCCTTAATTTAAGCCTCTGAATTTATGCAGCAAATTCTCAGAGACTTATTAGAGATAGTAACTTAACTTATTAGAGATAGTAACAATTAAACAACAAACACAGTAACAGATTCTTGTCATAACACAGACCATACTGTGTCACTAAGGAAGAATCCTACTATGCGAGTTCAAAATTCTCCAAAAATATTGTACAAAACAGTTGTGGAGAGCTAACTGGATTTTTTTTTTTTTTCCAAATAATGTACACAATATACATATATATAGTGAATATATATGTGTAAGTAAAATATGAAATCATAAAATAATGGACATTTTATGGTAAACTAACACATAGAGATTCTGGAATAAATCATACACTAATTCCAAAGCAAACAAAGTACATGCTACAGGAAGAGCTAAGACTACTGCAGAAGTTTGCCAAGGACCTAACTGAACAAATAACCTCATGAAAGATATTAGGAACAATGAGAGAAACTGTGAGGAAAACTGGAAAAGGCCAAGCAGTAAAGAAAGAACAGAAGCAAATGTGCTGTTTTAAAGAGTTATTTAACTCTCAGACTACATTAGGAATAGAACAAAAAGGCATGAACTGCCAT